GTATTAAACGGGACAACAAAGGGTGTTATGCCTACATTATGATGAATATTTAGTCCTATAGGTCTTGCTGTATTCAATGTCTCAATCCAATGGGCCTACCTAGATTGACGGAATTTGGTAGTTTCATCTTCGGGCAAGTCAATTTCTATACGTTCAATTGGGATTAGGGTGAGATCGTCTATTGAATGGTCGTCGAGGTTGAAATGATTAGAAACAGGCTTGTCTTTCTTTAATTTGATGTCTGACCTATGAGCATTAAAGCGAGTTCGTAAATTATTCTTAGTTTCTCCTACATATTGTTTGGGGCATTTCTTGCATGAAATTAAATATATTACATTCGAATGTTCACATGTTAGATGTTCCTGGATCGGGTACCTTTTATTCGTAGAGTTGCTAACAAAATAATGAGTTTCTGATATAAAGGGACATGTTTTGCATCTACTGGACAAACATGGAGCACTTCTTAAACCTGGAGGTACTTCGGCATAAAGTCTGTTTTTAGCCGTGATCAGATACCAAAGACCTCCTTTAGCTGCTATCTGTGCTAAGGTGGAATTTTTTATGTTTCGTAAAAATCGTTTAGAGTACCCACGCTCTTTCAGTTTTGAGAAAACAATCGTACAGGCTTGGTTGAAATCAGAAGATCTTATACAAATTCGATGAAATCGTAAAACTTGTGACTTAATTATACCAGAAAAGGTATGTTTTGGGTGAAAGGAGCTCTTGTGCAAGAGTTGATGAGTATCAGTTTCTTTGAAATACACTTTAATATCCAGTTTATTTGTTTCTGCTATGGAATCTCCCTTAAAGACTGTGGTATCGAGAAAGTCTATGCTTTTGTCACTCACGTTTGCGGTTAGTTTGATAGAAGGATGGTGGTTGTTGAGAATTTCAAAGAATTCCCAAAACTGGTTTCGAAAAAAATATGTGCAGCTAAGATTTCGTTGAAATCGTTCAATGGATGGTCGGAGATAATTCAAGTTAGCTATCTTTGGTGTGGGAATAAACTTAAGTCCACGGTCTAAGATTGAATGCTGAAGGGGTGTGAGAATTTTGCGGCTCAAGTTAACTACAGTTTGGCCTAGCGGTGGCCTCTCAGTATTTTTATCCCCAGTAATTAGTTTAAAGACTTACTCGATGCTTGAAGCTGGTGTATCCAAAACAAATAGATGCTGTTTGCTGTTTCTGGAGACCAATGAAGATTATCAACTGGTTCGAATTCTTCTTCGTAGGGTGGTAAGATTGTTGCGTTGTTGATACTGGACTCCATCATCATGTTGTTGAGAGTGCTGAGGTTCTGTTGTGCTTTCTTCGAGATTTTATTTGAAATGGGTATAAATGTGAAGAGGATCTTGGAGTTTGGGAAGGTTTTGTTGGCTGTGGCGATTAATTTCTGGGCTTGGTTAAAGGAGGTCTTTGGTATATGATCACGGTTGTTGAGGCCTACATGAAGAATAATGGTAGTAGGTTTGGGATCATGGTCGTATGATTCCAGGATTGACTGTATGTGATGGATTTGGGCACCGGGGTAATAATGTATTTCGGTGTCTGAACTGGTTTTGGTAATTCGATTCAGGTTAGATGATCCAATTATTAAGGTAGATTTCTTTAGAGCAGGTAGCTTCCATAATGATTTGTCCTTGGTTTGGTGATAATACGGTTTGGTAGCGGATATAATGGTCGTCGACGGTGTGATTGGTACTGGTTTGGTAGATGTTAGAATTGTAGCATTGGGAACGGACTGGGATCTGGTTCGAGGAGGGGAAGGTCTGGATACACGTCTCGACTTGGATGGAGACTGAGGGGTGGTTTGCTGGTCCAAAAACGCACAGAAGGAAGAAAGGTTGGCGGATCCTGGATCACGTGGTGAAGATTCAGATGGTGTGGAAGGGGAAGACGAGTCTGAAAGTGAAAAGAGAAGGGGTGTGCCCTCTCTACGAGAGCGTTTACCTATGTCTGCTGGACTAGGAGTAGGTGAACTTCGGGCTCATTTAGGGGTTTGGTTCGGAAGCGTGGTGGTTCTAGATGGTGCAGGTGTAGTTTCCATTTCAGTTGGTAGAGATATGGTTACTCTGGTTTTTGTTTCGTTGATTGTTTGGTAGAATTTGGAGATTACAGCTTGAGTGAGACGTTTCCCATAGGAGCGACGGGCCCAGGACAGGGCATGAGAAACGATGCGGTCGACGGCAGGTGATGATAAAGACTTGGTACGAATGGTGGTCAGCTTCTCTTGAAGTGTGGTTTGGTAATGGTCGATCAGGACCTGCGTAACCTTACAGAGCCATGTCCGATTGGGGGATCTAATATTCGCGTCGACAGCTGATGTTTTCATTGCTGGACGGATAAAACTATCCAACTCAGAGACTTTGCGTTTGAAGGTAAACGCTGGTTGGCCTTGCTGTTGAAGGGTAAGGATTGCCAAATGATGGAGGCACTGCAAAACTTGGAAGAACACCTTCACAAAGGGTTCTTCCTCCTTATGAGTGGGGACTGGTTGGCGTCGGTGGGCTGGTAGTCTTTTCTGTTGTTGGTCAGGTCGATGGTTACCTCTTGATTGGTAGGCTGTGTTGTAGGTAGGTCGGCGATGGGGTGGGATATAGCTGGATGGGTTGGTTGGTGGTCGGCGATTGGTAGGTGGTAGAGGTCGATGGAAGACAGGGCCGTTGTAGGGTACGTGATATTGGTTTGGTTGACGATTAGTGTTTCTATGTCTGGCTTCTTGCCAGTGGTTGTTGTAGTTGGGGAGCATAATGAAAATAACTTGGGGTTAGAAGGGAATGTACAGCGGATGTAACAGGAGGAAACTGTATATGCTAGCGTGAAAATGTTGGGATCAAATTATGCAAATAAGTCAAACTGGGTTTGGGGATATATAAAGTAAGATGAAAGTTATGATGA